GAAAAGAGCTGAAATTAATTAAAAAATGCTAAAAAAAAAAAAAAAAAAAGGTAAAACAAGCTTAAATTAGCAGAAGAAAACAGAAAGAACACATGTTTGCCCAATCAGGCTGAAAGAAGCAGAAATGAGCACAAAAAGCGGAAATTATCTGAAAAAATTAAAAAAAGGCTGAAATTAGCAACAACAAAAACAGCCAAAAACTAGCTAAAAAGCAGACAGGAGCCTAAATTACCAGAAGGAAATCAATAGTGCATATTTTAGCTGAAATTGGTTGAAAAAAGTTTAAATGAGTGCAAACATTATGGAATTAGCTCAATAGCTGAAATTAGCATAAAGAAGTTAAAAGAAGAAAAAATATATAGTTAGCAGAAAGATCCTGATAGGAGCAAAAAACAGCTGAAAGAACAGCTGAAATTAACTGAAAGTAGCTGAAAGAAAACTTAAAATTTGCACAAGGAAGCTCAACTGGAACAAAATGTGAAAGGAGCAGTAAACGGTTGTAAACAGATCGAAAGATTTGAAGGATGTAAAATGAGGAGGAAAAACGTGGCAGAAAAGGCTAAATATTTCAAAAATATGAGAATGGCACCAATACCAGAAGTCATAACACGATTGTCCTGAAAGAGCTGAACATTTTGATTTGTTGAAATAGAACAAACTTGTGGAACGACAAAGATGCCAAAAAACGTACAGAAAAAAAATGGATCACAAGAGTGTGAATGTTTCATTCACACAATAAAGGCTGAAGCTGTGTGTGGAAACAGCTGATTCAGATGCATGAACCAGTTACTGTCTATTCTGCATGACCTCATCATTCACTTTACTTGTTCATTCATTTTGCTGTAAATTTGCTGCTACAGTCTTGTGTGAGCCAGTAGGATCTGTTGGACGGATGACCTCATGCTTGACCCCAGAATGTGGACAGAGCCCCACAGTGAGACCCTGATTCTGGTTTTTCTTGTGTAACGAAATCTGTGTCCACGTTCCATTTTGTTTCCTGTTTTAGTGTGCAATATCACTTCCTCTTATCCCACTTGCCCTGAATTATTAATTAGAACACACATTTTATGTGTCTCCACCCCCCCTGTGCATTTACAGCTGTTTTCTATTGTTTATTTGTCACTTCCTCGTATCGTGTTGAACTCGTGTCTGTTCTACCAAAAAGTTGCATTTTCATCACCAAGCAAGCCATCTGGCATGTCTGCATCTGGATCCTCAAACCTTCACCTGCTCTGCTTTGTGACTCAGAGAAGTAGTTGGACTCAGATCCTGCAGCTGTAAAACAAGCCCTGACCATCACCCCTCCACCACCGTGCCCAAACATCTCCACTTTGGTTGCTGAATGTTTTCCACTGTCAAGTTGATTGAAAACAGCATTAAATCAATTCCTTAATTATCTCTCATTTCTCTGAGATCATTTCTGACGACTTTATTTTTTTGTCATTGCTTTTCGACACACCTGAGTGATTTCAGCAGCAGACTGGAACAACTTCTGATTTTGGAGAGGTGATTTTTTTTTTTTTTTTATCAAGTTTATTTAATTAGCAGCATCTGGCTCCTGATAACAGCAGGCGTTTCTAACACACACTGAGTTTGAAGCAGAAGTTTCCCCCAATCGTTTGTCTGTTTTTATCTAAAAGTTGCTGCTATTTTCCTGGAAACACAAAGAAGTTTATTGTTTATTATCAGACAAGGAGTGGCCTCATTTATTCATTTATATATTCATTTATTTTCTTGTTTTGCATCAGTTTGAGAGTGTTGGATAGCTGGTTAACTTTTGATCTTACAAATAAAACCACGATTCTCTAACACTCAAATACTAAAACAGATTTTTTTTTAATCCAGAGGTGAACTTTCGCAACATTTCTCAGCTGGTGTGTGCTCAGCATCCTTCACATACTCGTAGTTCCCTCTCTTCTTATAGAAACAAACTTTAATCCCAGACCAATTAACTGTGTTTCCTTCAAAATTGGCTGGCTTTATTTTCATTCCCTTTTCAAATGATTCCAAATTCAAATGCTTCTGTCTTCACCCCACAGTTTTGCCAAAATCAATCTGAATTAGCCAAAACCATTTCAAATGCTTCCCTGAGAAGGTCTCTAGTTTGCTATTGAAAGGGCGCGTTGGCTCATTCTCTAATGATGCAGCAGGCAGAAGGCTGCATCTCTTTGAGAAAGGCCAGACTGTGGCATCTATACTCCAAGAAAAGAAACTCCAGTTGACATGCGCTGTTGACACCCAAAGTGCTATTTTTGTAAGAGAAGTCAAAAAAAGGTCATTGAAAGTTTGCAGTTAGCAGAAGCCAAAACCTGCATGGAGAAAAGTAGGAAGAAGGAAGCTGACAAGAAAGGCATCAGTTAGCAGAACAAAATGCAAACGGCACCATTAGCATGTTACCCAGGGTGGAGAGCAGAAACAAGAACAAAGTTCAACAGAACTTCTGATCACGTTAATTTAATTTATCAATGTCAGAACAAAGATGTCAACTCAGCTGGAAACCACACATCATTATGTTCAAAGTAAAGTCTCAAGAAATATCACCTCCTTAAACGCTCATAGAATAAAAAGCACATGCACTGTTCGCTAATCTTAATTTATTTAAGTTATTGTGCAGAAATCTGGGGCAATAATTACAAAACTGCACTACAGTAACAATACTACATAAAAGAGCAATAATAATAATCCATTTAGAAAGAACTAATACACTATTTGTTAAATCTAAATGATCAAAGTTCATTATAGTGCAACTAGAGACGTCTCTAATCTTTACAAAATCAAAAATAAACAATTACCGGAAAACATTCAAAAACCTGTTTAAGACTAAAGAGAAAATGTATAAATTGTGGTGAATTAGTTTAAAATATGCAAATTCAGAACTACTAGAAAAAAAACTTTTGTGTATCAGTACGTGGAGACAAACTGTGGAATAATTTGAAAATTGAACTTAAGACATGTCCAAACATAAAACTGTTCAAATTATCTCATAAACATATGATTATTACTGGTTTTTGTTATGCAACAATATTTTGTTTGGACATTATGCGTCATGCTGTATATATATATTTTTTTTACATATTTAAAAAAATAATAAACTAAACTAAACTAAAATCTCCAACGACCGCTCTAAACTTGACACGACTTTGAATGAGAAACACTGAATCTGAGTTATTGTTTGTGACTTTGGTTTTTTTTCTTCTTTTGTCATTATTCAAGCAGTTTCCTCCAGTTTCTGTCCATTTTTTTAAGGTTCGTGTGGTTTGTTTTTATGACATATTAATTTTACACCAAACTAATTTGGGTTTCTTTAATTTCCCTGAGGCTGTATCTAAAATATCTTCTAGTTTCTTGCATACAGTTGGAAACACTGACTTTATTCTACTCACCTTTGAAACAGCCCAAAGTGAAGGGGCATAAGATGATTTCCAGAAATTCAAAGAAAATTTATAGTATTTAAATTTTTTTGCATTAATTGTTCTAAAAATGTAAAAAAAAAAAAAAAAACAGAAGCTATAAATGGATAAAAAAAAAAAAATAACTGTTATAAAATCTTTTTGTCTTTTTTTTTTTTTTTTGTTCTTGGTTATTTGACCTACCATATTTTTCGGACTATAAGTTGCACTTAAAATCCTTTAATTTTATCAAAAATCAACCGTGCGCCTTATAATCCAGTGCACCTTATGTATTAATTCTGGTTGTGCTTACTGACCTCGAACCGATTTTATGTGGTGCACGGTGCTCAAAAATCTGTCAAAATGTTTTAGTTTCGCTTAATGTGCCTTATAGTCCAAAAAATACGGTAAAAGTTTTGTTTGTGCATTAATAGTTGGAGCCACAACTTTATGGTGCTTGTAGGTCTGCAGATGAAAAGTTTAGTAAAAATGATCAAAGTCCTGTTTTATTATTTTCATTACACAATAATCTTAAAAAGCTTAACATGCATTGGGCTTAATAGAATAAAAAAATGCTGCAACATGTGAAAGAGAGAATTATTTTTTATCCCTTTTTTTAAATTTTGGACTAATTTCATCTTTTATTTCCTGTCTTAGCATTTCTTCTTAATAATTTTGTTTTGGTGCTGAAAAATCTCCAATGTTATCTGTTTGGTTTATTCAGACCCTTATTCTCTGTTTTGAAGGAAGTAAAGCATGGGGTCTTTGAATGGAACCCAGTCAAAGAGATGACAAAAACTCAACTAAACCCATCAAACAAACAAACAAACCCCACAGCGTGAAGGAAAAGACAGACCAGCAGATTTCATAAACCTCCAACATTTGGCAAAAATAAACTATTTATTTTTCTACTTTACGAGCAGCGAGATTTCACACATTCTAATTTAAAACCGCTTCAGTTCTATAAATTAAATGTTTCCACTCTGGTGGAAAATATTCTCCAAAGCTTTGTAAAGACTTTTTGTTTACGCACAGACTGGATGTAAATGCTGAGGCATTCCTTTTATTTATCATGCTTTAATTTGACATTAACAATTTACACACACACACCCTCCCCCTCGTAAAACGCCCATATAAGAGCAAAGCTGCTTTTAATGATGTTTTGTCTCCCAGGCAGCAGTTCTCCTCGTCTCATGGTCGGAGCGGAAGGTGTGGTCTGGATGCTGCATCCATTGTGCGCTTCACACAAAGCGTCGCTGCGCGTTGATCACTGGAGATTTAACAAGCGGCATTTTAGCTTTTTAATTCAACTAAATTGTTTGTTTTTTTCTATTACAATGCTTCCAGATTGTGAGTTTTGAGGCGCATCTCCACCTGTGGACAGGATGATCGTCGCGCTCAGCAGAACCAAACAAAAGCGGCCAACATCCGCGCGCTGCGTCTCCGACTGAACTCACATTGAAGTTTACAGAAAGAGAGAGAGAGAGAGAAAAGAGAAGCCCCAAAAGGATCGACTCTTGGTGTTTTCCAGTTTGGCATCACGCGCTTCTTGTCGTCGCCGCGCGCGTAAAAAGCCGCCTTTGGATGATGCGCACCGGGGTATGAGACGCCATGGCGTGGTGTGACCGAGGGGTTCAGACTTTGTTGGCCGTGGTGGGGGCCTTCGCCGCCTTCAGCCTCATGACCATCGCCATCGGCACCGACTACTGGCTCTACTCCCGCGCGTACATCTGCAACGCCACCAATGTCACCACGGATGAGACCCAGATGCAAACCAAGAAAGTCAAAGGCGACATGACGCACTCCGGGCTGTGGAGGATCTGCTGTATAGAAGGTAAACGGTCTCATCTGTTATTTTATGAGCACGGACTTTTTTATCTTCTTGTAGCTCATTAGTCCTTTATTAAGAGTTTGGGAGGTGAAACTGACACAATGGTTGTGCGCCTGTTTGTGGACCTCCTCAGGTTGGGAGGTGATGCAAATTATCTTTTAACCAGCATGTAGCATCTTTTTTTAACTGTGGGGTGTTTCTCAAAAGCTGACTTGTCTTATGTTTAATGAAACCGCTTAAGACATGTCAGTTTTTCCTGTTTGAGCATTACATAATTAGATTCAAGCTGTGATTTATAAGGTGCCAATTGTAATAAAGGCTTTCTTGGGAACCCCGTATTGCACTATATTCTGAGGAGCTGCTGCTTTGTTGGTTTGTCTCTGATCCCAGAGGGCTTTGAGGCTGGGCATCTTGCCTTTGAACAACAGGTCGATATTGTTTTGACATGTCTGCTCACACACTTGCTGCCTTATTGGATTCAAGCCAAATCATTGTGATCAATCTGCTGATACATGAAGGTATAGCTGAGCTGGTTCAGCATCGCCGTTTCCTGGTTCTTATGGTGCTGAAACTGCTCTCGTCAACCGAAGAGCAAAACACCTCAAAGAACTGTTCGGCGAATGCTGATGATGGTTTTGCTCAAGCCTCTGTGCATGTGTCTGTCTGTTAACAAAATATCTCATGAACCGTGGAATGTGTTTTAATGAAGCCTTCATCAGCTCATCACCTGGAAGTAGATCTACAACTCAATAACCTTTGGAGCATTGAACCTTTGAACGGCCAACTGACATTAGAAAACCCAAATATTATTATAATTCAGTCAGTTTTACAGATATTAACCTAAAGTTTGGTGTTTGCGTGTTGCGGACAGTTATTCACAGCATATACTCTGAATGAGACAACTTGAGATGTTGCAGAAGATTGAGCTTCACCAAAACGATTAAAATCTCTGTCTTTTCTCTTTTTCTGATGATCTTAGTCTAAAACTCGAAAACAATCCTAAATCTGAGTAAAAACAACTCATACATACATTCACACAACTGAGCGACAAACTTCTTTCTCCAAAACAGAGTTAAGCAGCGTGCCTGTTGTGTGTTTCCATCCAATTTAATGGTGCATCAGGAGTAGTGTTGTGGCTGCTGGTCCGGGTGAAGAGGCAGCACTCACCCAGACTTTTGTCTCATACACTGATGAATGCAGTCATTAGCGAAGTCGCACTCCAGGCTCCAATGACTCCTCCTGGAGTTTCTTGTGAAAAATCCCAAAGCTATTTATGGATTTCATGTAAAGTTAATCAAAAGACACATCCCTTCTCCCGTCGCTCCGTAAGAGACTGCAACAGATTTGAAGTGGGTTGCAGAGTGTTCTTCAACATCGCTCACTTTTCCCTGTGAAGGGGTGTTACGCATGAAGCAGAAAATGCAAGTAACTTGGCCTTTCTCTTACATATCTTTTTATCTTCCATACTCAGAAACAAACGTATCGTTTTGGCTCGCAGAACAGTTTAAATCAAATATCCACAAGTTTATCTAAATTTAGACACTTTTTTATTCCAATTGTACTTTAACAAAATATAATTTCACTTCCTGCCTTTTAGGGGTTAATTTGTTTGAGTCTTTGGGGATTTTCCTGCCTGTGGGTAATATGGAGGCGAACCAGTCGCATTGAGTCAAATGAGCAGTGTAAATGATGGTTACGCCTCAGGAGATGCTGCTGACTTCACAGGAGAAATGAGGCTCGTGTCTACGTCTCAGTCATGCAAGGACCATGTCTCGCAGAAGAAGCCAGCAGTTCCCTGAAGGGGAGCAACTGGCAGAAAATTAACTTTTTAAAGAAACGACACAAATGGGTGAATGGCGTTGCAGCAAGTCATGCTGAAATGTAACAAGAACTTCCACTTAAGGAACATTCTTGTATTCCGAACGCGCTCAACCTTAATATATGAAGTCCTCCAAGCAAATAATGAGATTGGTCAACTCTTTTGAAGTGGGATGTTGTGGAAATATTTTTATTAAATAATATCTTACTCATTGTGGAAAGCTTTTTTTAAACAACTTCACTTTAAAGTAGTGGTTCCCAACACTGGTCCTTGAGGAACACCACCCTGCTTGTTTTAGTTGTTCCTCTGCTCCAACACACCTGATTTGAATGAAAGGGTTATTAACAGGCTTCTGTCGAACTTGAGGAAGTAAAGCATGCAGGATGGTGTTCCTCAAGGACCAGTGTTGGGAACCATTGTTTTAATGAAATGAAACGGAGCTACGTTATGAAAATAAGCAATGCTGGAAGTATTGTGCAAATAACAGTGAAGGTGGGCCTGGTTCTGCCCAGCAGAAATGTAAATAATACCACTTAGCTTTTTTTGTTGTTGTTGTTGCTTCTCTAAAAAGAGAGGGGTGACATGAAGGGGAGATTTATAGTTTCAGTCCAGCCAAAGAGGATTTAAATGGTAAATATTGTCAACAGCTTTATTCCATCTTTATGTAAATAAATCATCACTTCATCAACAGAAAAATTAAATCAGATGTGTGGAAGTCAGAGGTTACTTGAACTTTTACTAAAGTAGATTTTACTTGTTTTTGAGTATTTTTAAACTGAACTGACTGGGTTTTTTTTACTAAGGTAAAATATTTAAACACTTCTGCAGCTATTGGTTGAATAATTAAATTCAGTTTATTTATTTTAATTCACAACAAAAGTCAATTCAACTGTTGGGCAAAAATGCTGCCAAATAATTCTTTAATTATTTTTTTGGCACCTCCACTTGTGCAGACAGCCAAAATGACAAAATAAAGCAACTCATTAAAAGACAAATGTGACGAGTTAGAAAAATATGTTCTCCTGGGATTCAGCTTTGGACACATCAGGTTACGTTTAGTTTAGTTTGGTGAATTTTTAACAATATCTGTGATTGTTTTTCTATAAATCACTGCTGATCTTTGCCTGACATTGACAATAGAAAATTGTTTGCATGGCAGGATATTTTTTGGTGCACTTAAAAGGTTCAAAGCGATGCTGCTTTTCTTATCAAACATGAGGAGTTTCATTTAGCGCCAGTCAAAGTGTTTCTCCTGAACAGATGTGGGAATGCTGAAGTGATGCTAAGCACCCAGATGAGTCGCTCCACTGGATTGTTGTTGTTTTTTCTGGCTGGATTGATGGTTAGCCTTAGCAGGACCAAAGCAAGGCGGTATTCTGAAAATTTTAAACAATTTTTAATTAAATGCTCGTGCATAAATGTTCATGCTGCCATCACTTTTACATTAAGGCAGAAATAGGCCTGTTGCAATAAACAATAAATCAATTAATCACATGATAAATAAAAATGATCAACTTCATTTTCATTTATTGGCTTCATCGTTTCTTCGTGTCTCTTTCTACTGAAGACACTTGATGACAAAAAGCTCAACTCTGGTGTTCTTCACTGACCCCTCCCTTTCTCTTTTCTCCTTAAAATCCATTTTAAATTGACAAAATTGCGTTTTTGGATCGTTAAAAGCAGCTAAGCTGAGAAGCTAAGCTACGAGCTAAGCTAACAGTCTGACATCAGGAACAAAAAACCTCAGTCTCGTCGAGGCGCCAAAATTCATGGTTGAAACTCGTGCCTACGTGTAAAAAGTTGTTTTTCTCTGCAAAAAGAAGCTGAGAACTTGACTGATTTACTGAAAAGGTTTGTTTGAAAAATACCATGCTAAAGAGCTCAAACTACACCGAGCGTCTGCCATTTTGAGAACCGAAAACAGGAAATGGAGACAGCCCATATCACGTCAAGAGGCCTCCCTCCCATTTTTCTTAAAGAGACACTGCTCGCTCCCTCACTATCCATCATTTGGTTCAAATAGTCTTATACAGCCATTCAGTGGTCGAAAAAAGGTACTACACTCAAAACAAATTAAACATTTCTTCTTAAATTTGACAATTACCAATTATTGTTAAATATCAAACAATATTATCGTTTATCGCAATAATTTCTGAGACAATTAATCGCCCAGCAAGATTTGTTATCGTGACAGGCCTAGGCAGAAATATGATGTTCTTACCGGAAGTGTACCATGCCACGCCAGAAATGCTATAACTAGCTGCTGCTGCTATTTGAGCTTTCAAATAATCACTAAATTCTATGTCAAGCATGTAAGATTGACAGTGATGTAAAGGTTTATAAAACAACAGTCACATGAGTTGCTATGTGAAATGACTTCACGTTGCTCACATTGTGTTACTAGCTGTTAGCCTACAAATCAGCTCAATATCTCCAAGCTGAGGTTGTTTAAAGAGCTATCCACAGCAGGTAAGATATTAATTGTTCCAAGCCTTTCCACAGAACCCCACTTAAGGAACTGGAATTATCTCTATGAATCTGTGAAAATAAATAAATGCATATGATTGGACAATCTCCTTTTTTAAATAATCTCAAGTTTGCGTCTCTGAAGCTGTGTGTGTGTATGTGTGTGTGTGTGTGTGTGTGTGTGTGTGCGTTTGCTTATGTTATATTTGGGGTCGTGAACACGTTTACACACCAGTCATTTGGGGACACCTTGGCAAGTGGGGACCAAAACCACGGTCCCCAATTAGAGAACCTTATAATCGCATTCAGCACGCTCCAAAATGTATTTTAATCCAAAAATCTCAAACGTCCCAAAAAGTCACTAAAATAGGTTTTTTTGTGTATGTGTATGGTTTCGCCCCTCGCCTCCCCACAAAATCTGTGTATACCTCAATGTTGTCCCTAGTGGGAGTGTGTAGAACTGCATTAAACTTCATAGGTGGCCTATGTAATGCCTGATGATAAAGAATCATAAAATAGAAACTTAAACTATAAGTAGGACCACATAGTAGCCCATGTTTTGCCTGATGTAAAAAATTTAAACAAATGAATGGGCACATGGATTAAGCAAAAATGAAAACTGTTCTAAAAAACTGATAAAAAATATTGTCTTTTGAAAGTTATAATCTTAGTGTCAGCAAATTAGCAGCACTATATTTTCAAATACTATTTTAACATG